CCCCCCCCCCCCGCCCCCAGGCGGCCGGTCCTGGTGCCGCGCTGCTCTGGCCGCGAGGACGCGCTTCCCAATGTCCGGCCTGGACCTGGGCTGGCGCCGCTTGAACGGACCGTTGCGTGTCCTGCGCCGGGGCAGCAGCCGGAGGAGATCTCGGCCCGCCTCTTCTGACAGCCTTTGAGGCGCTTGTACAGGGATCCCAGGTCCCCCCTCAGCCTTCTCCCCTCAAGGCCGAGCGTGCCCAGTTCGCCCAGTCTCTCCTCTCAGGGCAGGCTCGGCAAACCCGGGAGCATTTTCCCTGCCCTCCTCAGGACCCTTTCTAGTTTTCCTGCCTCTTTCTTCAATTCTGGTGCCCAGAACGGGACACAGGATTCCAGTTGGGGTCTGACTAGTGAGGAGAGTAGGGGAACCACTACTACTCGTGATTTGGAAGAAATACTTCTGTTAAGGCCTCCCAAAATAGCACTTGCCCTTTTTGCAGCTGCATCGCGTTGTTGGCTCATATTTAGCTTGTTGTCCGTGATAACTCCGTCTTTCCCTTTTTCAGTCCTGTTGAGCCACGTATTCCCCATCCTGTATCAATGCCTTTGGTTTCTCTTTCCCAGGTGGAGGACTTTGCATTTGTCCCTATTGAATCTTATTCTCTTGCTTTTGCCCAGCATTCAAGTTTATCAAGATTGCCCTGGATCCTCATTCGGTCCTCTAGGGTGTTTGCTATTCTGCCCAGATCTTTCCTTGCACTTCCTCATCCAAATCATTAAGAAAGGTGCTGAAGAGCACCGGGCCCAAGACTGAAGCCTGCGGGACCCCCCTGGCTCCCCCCTCCGGTCTGAGAAGGTGCCACTGATGAGCACTCTTCGTGTTCGATTCAGCAGCCCGTTTTGGATCCGCCGAATAGTTTCTCCATCTGGTCCACTTTTTGCCGATTTGCTTGTCGGAATGTCATGTGGCGCCTTGTCGAAAGCTGTGCTAAAGTCTGGGTAGATTCTGTCCACGGTGTTCCCTTTGTCCATCTGGGAGGTTACCCAGTCTAGAAATGAGATTAAACTAGTCCGACAGGATTTATTTTTGATAAATTCATGTTGGCTTTTATTAATCACTGTATTTTCTTCAAGGTGCTTGCAGACTGATTTTTTAATACTTTGCTCAAAAATGTTTCCTGGAATTGAAGATCCTGCTTCGGTTTGCCTTTGCAGCAGTACTCTCTCTGTGCAAACAAGCAGTCGGAGCATGAACTTCCAAGCTGGCCACCCCAGCCAAATTCAGCAGCGGGATGTGGCTGCAAAGGGCAGATGCAATTTTAGCCTGCATGAACAGAGGTATCACTTCCGAAGCACCTGAAGGACTCGTCCCCCTTTAATCACACTGGTTAGGCCGCATCCAAAGTCCTGTGTCCAGTTCTGGGCACCACCGTTGAAGAAAGATGTGGACAAGCTGGAAAGGGTTCCAAGGAGGGCAACCCGGATGACCCGGGGACTGGAGGCAGCCCTGGGGGGAGAGGCGGAAAGAGCTGGGCGTGTTTAGCCTGGAGGAGAGGACCGAGGGGGAGAGGGCGGCACTCGGCAAGGCCTGGCACGGCTGTCGCAAAGAGGAGGGCAGGGTCTCCTCTTCGTCACCCCAGAGTGTGGGGCACGGAATAACGGGCTCCAGTCACGGGAAGCCAGATGCCGGGCGGAGGTCAGGAAGCAGTGTGGCAATGGAACCGGTGCCCCGGGAGGCGGTGGGCTCCCCACACTGGAGGCACGCAAGATGCACCTGGACAGCCATCCGAGCCCAATGCGTAAGCTTGGGCTCCTACACTGAGCAGGGGGCTGGACCCGATGGCCCTCTGGGATCCTAGAATCCCGTGATCCCACCTGGCTGGAGGCCCCTGCTGGAATCAATCACACGTCCACAGCAGCTTTGCAGAGAAAAGCTGTCAGTGATCATAGGCCTATAATCACCAGGAGCAAATAGATATTAGCTGGGAGTGGGTGGGTTAATGGACAGCGGTCATGTTTTTGCCGTCCCCGGACAAGAGACAGGGACAGCGCTGGGACTGTGACCGTCAGAGACTGTTTGAGCATTAAGGCCGAGACCGGGCACCATGACGTGGCAAACGCCTGGCGCCGATAAGTGCTGGGCCAAAGGGTTCCACCCGGCCGTTTCTGAGGGATGAAAGGACCCTCTGCCTCCCAGACCGGCTTCCTCTTCGCAGGGCATCAGCAAGGCAAGGCCTGCCTCACCAACAGTTCTCCGAGTGTCGAGCGGCGCACAGACGGGGCGATCCAGCAGACGTCGCTCGCTCGGACTCCAGGCGGGTTTTGGCAGAGTCCCGCACCAACGGCTCCTGAGCAGTCATGGGATGTGGTGGTGGGGGGGGGGAGATCCTCTTATGGACCGCCAACTGGTTAAAGAACAGAAGCCAGAGGCAGGAAGAGGGGGCCACCCCAGGGGAGCGATGTCACCCGGGGAGTCCCACGGGTTCTGCAGTGTGACCAACCCTTTTCACCCGACCCGCATTTAGGAGTAAGCAGTGATGTGGCCGAGTTTGCTGATGAGGCGAAGCTTTTTAGGGTGGTTAAAAGCAAAAAGGGATTCTGAGGCGCTCTGGAGGGATCCCTTCGAAGTGGGCGGAAGGGCCCCAAAACGGCAAGCGCGACTCCATATGAGCAAGCGCAGTGCAACGCGTGTCGGGCCACGACACCCCAGCTCCGATTTCACACCGGAGAGCAGAACTAGCAGCGACCGCGCACGAAGGGACGCGGGGGCTGTGGGGGCGGAATGAAAGCGCGGCTCCAGGCAAACTGAGGGACGGCACGGAAGAACCGGACTGCCACACGCTTCCTTCCCCTGTACAAATCTTCAGGGCGACTGCGCTTGGAATATCGTGTCCCGTTCTGGTTGCCTTGCCTGACTGAGCTGGAAAAAGTAGCGGCAACGGCAGCAAAATGATGGGGCTGGCGCAGCCCCCCTTGCGGAGCGGCCGGGACATGGGGGCTGCTCAGCTCAGAACAGGGCGGTGAAGGGGAGACGGACGGGAGTTCGGAATAAGGCGCGTTGTGGAGGGAGCGGAGAGGGAGGCGTTCTCCTCTCTCGCCCATAACCCTTGAGCCCGGGGTCGTCCCACGAAGCCGGTGGGTGGGAGGTCTGGGACAGGTCCAAGGAAGCCCCTCACCACACAGAGTGGAATTCGCTGCCCTGGGAAGCGGTGGAAGGCTGACCAACTGGGTGGCTTTCCGCAGGGAGGGCTGATCCACCGGGGGGAGGCTCTCTAGGGCGACCAGCCTTGCTGGCCATGGGCTACCTCCTTAGCCGAGGTGGGGGGTCGCGCCATTTGGGAGCGGGAAACCCCGTGGGGCCGGTGAGCAGGACCTGCCTCGGCTGCCCTGCCGCTCTGCGGTGTTTTTCACACCGAAATCACCGGGAAATCGGCCAAGCCAAATGTTCTGGCCCCTTTAGCAGAGAGAGCTCCCCCAGTGGAAAAGCACCCGGGGCCCCGGCACCTCGGGCGCCTCGCCCTGCACACGGTTCCCCGCCAAAGCGGCCCACGCTCCGGCTGTGACGGGCAGCCACGGGGGGCTGGGACCCAAGGGCCGGCTCCCCGCAGGAAGGACGGCCTACAGACCTGGGCCTGGGGCAACAGGGCACCGGGGGGTGGCTCTGAGGGGATCCGCAGCCTTGCCCCTCCGTTCAGGCCCCCACCAGTGCACCGCCCGGGCGGTTTGCTCCGAGGAGCCCGGGAAACCAAAACGCAAGGAGGTTCAACTCGTTTTATTTCCACAACAGTCCTTTGAGGTAGCTTAGAGAGCGACCAGCCGTGAGCGAACTTGCAGGAGGGAATCCAGCCCGGCTGCCCCGGCCCGAGACCGCGCAAGCACCCTCCGTGCCCCCCAGCACCCACAGGCGCTCCTCAGCGACGGCTCCGGGACGCGGGGGGCTTCGTCCAGAGTTCAGGGGTGCCGCGGCCTCGGCACCTCAGAGGTGTCTCCTGCAGCGAGAGACACGTAGCGAGCCCAGCCCGGATCGCCGGGCCTCGCGAGGCCACCGCCGGAGCAGCTGCAGCTACGGCTCCGCGCACTCCTGGGCCGGCGCCTCCTCCGGGCCGCTGTGGGAGGCCCGGTGCTCCTGGAGCGCCTCCTCCGAGGGGAAGCCGCCCCCGCAGTGCGGGCAGGAGAGGGGCCGGCCGCGGCGGTGCAGCCGGCCGTGGGCCACGAGGCCGGCCTTGCTGGGGAAGCGGCGGTCGCAGTCGGCGCAGGAGAAGGGCAGCTCGCCGCTGTGCAGCCGCTGGTGCGTGAGCAGGTTGCCCCGGCGGCTGAAGGCCTTCCCGCAGGCGTCGCAGGAGAAGCCCCCCTCCTGGGCGTGCAGGCCCCGGTGGATCTGCAGGCTCTCCTTCCAGCTGAAGCTCTCCCCGCACTGGGCGCAGGCGAAGGGCCGGTCCCCCTCGTGGGCGGGCTGGTGCCGCAGCAGCTCCGAGTCGCTGCCGAAGGCCTCGCCGCAGTCGGCGCACCGGCGCGGGGCCTCCGCGGCGCCCTCGGCCCCCTGCGCCGGCAGGCGTCTGTTGCGGCGGAAGGCCGGGCCGCAGGGGCCGCAGGGGGGGAGGCCCTCGGCCGTGTGGCCCGCCCGGTGGCGCAGCAGGTCCCCCCGGAGGCAGAACGGGGCCCCGCACTGGGTGCAGGCGTGCGGCCGCTTGCCCCGGCGCTTCTTGTGCGTGAGCAGGTTGGCGCGGTACTGGAAGCCCTTCCCGCACTGTGTGCACGGGAAGGGGCCCGCCCCCTCCGCGTGCAGCGCCCCGTGGTCCCGGAGGGCCCCCGGGTCCGCAAAGCTCCTCCCGCACTTCCCGCAGATGAGCAGCCCGTCGCAGCACGGGAGCCCCCAGCCGCCCTCGGAGCGGCCCCACGGCAGGCTCCTCACGTCGGTCAGCTGCACCTCACACCGGCTGGGGCACACGGCCAGGTAGTGGCAGTCGGGGCCCGGGGCCCCCCAGGGGGGAGACGCAGGTGTGCTACAGCGCCCGGCCTCGCCCTCCATCTCGGGCTCCTGCCCGCTCCCGCCGGCTGTGGAAAGAGCAGACAGAAGACCCACGGGCGGTGAGGCGGGTGGGGGACACGAGTGTCGCCCCCCTTGACAGCCAGAACCGGAAGCACGTGCCTGGAGCAGCACGGGAGGAGGGCCGGGGCCCGGGCTGCTCTGGCGAGAGGCCGGGGCTCTCCTGGAAGCCACGCTGGGGCCGTGCCAGGCGCTCTGGCCGAGTGAGCAGGGTGGCTCTGCGGCTCCCCTCCCGCATCCCCCTGCCACAAACCGCTTTTGGGGGCCATGGCTGCCGCGCAGGGACCCCCGCACGTCCCAAAAGCTGGAGCCCCCACAGTCCTCGGCACCAGCCCGCGGGTGCCCAGCGCCATGGCCTACCGGAGTACGGCTGTGTCACTCCCAGGTGCTGGCACTTTGCTGCCGGGAGGGGGAAGGGGAGCCCCGGCCCGGTTCTGGCACAAACTGTCCTGCAGCCGCCAGCCCACCTGCCCGCGGGGCACTCGGGAGCTCATCTCCGAAACACACGCGGGGCCGAGCCCCGGGAGGACCAGGACGGCCTCTGGAATGGACGCCACCGCCCCAGGGGGCCTCCCGCGGGTGCCTGCTGCTCCGCAGCTCAGGGACCGGACCCCACACGGTTCAGCGTGTCAGACAGTCACTGTCACTCACCGGAACTGCGGCTCCCCGGGGCTTCCCCCTCCCCGTCCCGGTGGAGATCCAGGGCCCACGGCGCGTCTCCTCGCTCGGTCCTGCAGATCTGCTCTGTCTTGGGAGGCATGGCCTGTGTGCGGGACACGCCGGACAGAAAAGCAGCCTCAGTCCGCCCTCGGACACCGCCACTGCAGGGCAGGCTCAGGCGCGCCTGGCACTCACCCCGGGAGGCAGCACCCCGTGCCCGGCCACCGGGCGGACGCCGCAGCGGGACACTCCTGGTCCGTCCCGCCCACGCTCCAGCCACGGACACCAAGGCCGCCCTGGTGGCCGTGGGCCTCGGAGGTGATCGCACCCTCGGGTGCTTCCCCTGCTCTAAGCCCCGCCACACCTGCCACGGCTGGGAGCCGGGAACACCGGCCAGCAGAGGCGGCTGCCGCCGTGCACCGCGCTGCGGTTCTCCCCTCGGCGATCCGCAAACCTCCTGCACAGCCCCAGGCTGAAAAAGCAGCATCGTCCGCATAACTAGGATCACCATCTCATCTCTTTCCAGATGCTTTCTAAGTCGGATCTCATCAAAACAAGCCCCCTCTGAAAGAAATCACTCATGTTCCCATTTTGCACATGGGGAAATGAGGCTGGAGAGCCCATTCTGCCCAAAGCCAGCCAGCCAGCGTGGGGCGAGTGTCGGGAGCAACGAGGCAGTTGAGAATCATGGAGGGGAGCTGGAAGCGGCCAGAGGGCCCCTGGCCCAGCCCAGTGCTCAGCGCATCCCTCTGAGAGGGCTGCCAGCGGGCGGGGGGGAGCCCCCCACCTCCCCAGGTCTTTGGTTCCACGGTCGTGCTGCTCTGATAGTCAGGAAATTTTTCTGGCTTCCTGAATAAGTTCAGCCATTTATTCCGCCTCCTGATCGAGAAAAGATCCTGCACTTCCTCTTTTGGCAGCCTTTCAAGCACTCGCAGGGGCTCCCCCCCCCCCGCAGTCTCCTGTCCTCTCCTCTCCTCGAGGCCAAGCGCGCCCAGCTTCCACCTCTCTTCTTGGGCTTTGCCTCCAGTCCCGGGTCATCCCGGCCGTCCTCCTCAGGCCAGCTGGTCGGCATCTTCCCCCAGCGATGGTGCCCAGACCGGACACGGGGCTCCAGGCGAGGCCTAGCCAGTGCCGAGGGAACTAGCAATTCCCAAGGTCTGGAAGGGAGGCTTCCATCCACGCAGCCCGAAGCAGCGCTGGCCCTTTCCTGCAGCTGCCTCACATTGCTGGCTCAAACGCAGCCCCGATCTGCCCCCGCTGCTTGAGGGCCCCCCGGGGGAGGCTACCCGCACCTCCGGGGGCTGGCACACCGTGGCCTGGGTAATCTGCGTGCCCCCTGCCTGCAGCACCCTCCCTTCCCAGGCTTCATGTTGCCCCGCAGGGCCGGTCCCCTGCCCCGCCGGCGCCCAGGCCAGGAAAGCGCCCTGACCTGTGACCCCGAGGGCGACTGGGGGGGCACCGAGTCTCACTGGCCTCATATTTCACAAAAACACCCCTCTTCTCCGAAGGGGACAAACCACGTCCCTACACAAAAGCAGGGGGGCTGCCCGGCATAGTGGTGAGTGCACTGGCAGAGCCCCCCTGCCGCCGGCCCCCCTTGGCCACGGAGCTCGCCCGGTGCGCAGGGCCGGCCAGCCACTCACACTCGGCCCAGCCTGCCTCGCAGGGCTGTTGTGCACGGGGCATGGCGCGGGGGAGCGCCGCACGGCCACCCGGTTGCTTGCACGAGGGCGGAAGGCAGGCCGCTGGTGCAGTGCGGCCGCGGTCCACGAGTGGGGCTTCGGCGCAGCGGGCGGGACACGTGCTCCCCCGCGCCCCGAGCCCGTAGGGCTGCCGTCGCCCATCGAGGGGGGCTGGGAAAGCAGCCGCTGCAGCGCCCACCTCCCCGGCTCGCACGAAGGAGCGCAGAGCCCGACCGCGGGCGCGGGACCGCGGGCGGCAGGGCGGCTGGAACCGGCCCGGGGGTCCGCCTGAGCCCAGGGGGCCCCGCGGGATCACATCGCAAGAACGCCAGAGCCCCCCACCCCGAGGCCCGCCCGCGCCCGCATCCAGCAAGCGGCCCCCAGGCAGCCCGCCACTCGCGCTCCCCGCAGCCGCGGGACCGGCCGGCTCCGCATGCCCGGAACGGCCCAGAAGGGGGGGCGGGCCCTACCTGTGCGCAGCCGCTTCCCGCCCGCCGGCCGGGCCCGGGGCTGCTCCGCTCCTCCCACCGGCTGGCCGGGGCGCCGCACCGGGCGCGCCCGCCTGAGCTGCGGCGGCCCCCTCTCCGCGGCGCGCGGGAAGCCCAGCCAGACCGGAGGCGAGGCGAGGCGAGGCGAGGCGGGGCGGGAGGGACCTGCGCCCCGCCCCTTCCCGGGGCATTGTGGGAGATGTAGTCCTGGGCCCGTCGTGCGGCAAAGCGCGCGCGCGCCGCTCCTGCGAGGGAGCGCGCGCCAGGGCGTCGCCTGGGCCAGCCCGGACCTGCCCCTGAAGCGGCGGCTGCGCGCGGAGCTGCGCCCTCGCCGCCGGGAGGTTCCGTGCGCGCCTTCGCCCGCCGAGGGCCCCTCCGAGCCGCTGCCGCGCGGGTGAGTGGGCAGGCGCGGCCCGCGGGCTCTTTCCGCGCCGCGGAGACGTTCCCTGGGCGGGCTGGCTCGGGGCGAGGCGTTCGGGCCCCCTTCCGCGGGGCCGCTGCTCCGGGGCGTCCGGCGCGGCGGCGCTCGCCAGGCGCCACTCCCTTGGCTGGTTTGCTCTGGCTTTTCCAGACGGGAAAGAGGCTCCACGAGCGGGGCCGGGCCCGACTAGATGGCCCGGGGGTCCTCGGGCTCGCGCTCCTGCGCGCTGACGGTGGGCACGGGGGACCGTGGGGGAGGCGACCGAGCCGAGCTCAGGGGCGACGCCAAGCCACGGTCCCCCTTCCGTGGGCCTGCGCAGCCCTCCTCGCAGCCCCGCCGGGGGGTCCCCGACAGCCCCTCCCGCCCTCCCTCCCGCCCGCAGGATCGCTGCCGCTGCCTGGGCGGCGCAGCAGGTTACCGGGCTGGGAGGGCTGCCGTAGAGCCGACGTGCCCGGTCCGCCTAATCTTCGAAGCTAAGCAGGGTCAGGCGGGGTCGCGATCTGGAGGGGAGGCCTGGGTCCTGCGCTGAGCAGGCGCGGGGCCCGGGGGGCCTGCCGGGCGCCTTCCACCTGCCCGACTCTACGAAGTCCCGCTTGGGGATTCTGCTCTGAGGAAGCGGCGAAGGGCGAACGGGGCCAGTGATGGGAATTGGCTCCCGGGGCCGGGAAGTGCTCCAAGCCACAGCAAGCGAAGCTCCCCTGGCTTTAAGGCACGGGCAGGGGGTCGCTGGCACGGTGGGCAAGCAGTGCCCAGGGAGCTGCGGGACAGAAGGCAGAGGAGGAGGGTCCCACCGGGAACGGCTGTCTGGCCCCGAGGAGCAAGACGGAGAAATGTCCAGGCGCAGAGTGTCCCGAGGAGGACCGCTCCTTCCCTCCCTGCAGCCCAGCTCCTTTCCCAGGAGAGTTCTGTGGTTGACCTTCCACCCTGTAAGTTTTTTCAGCCCGGGCACGCAGGGGTCTGGCGCGACCTGCTCGGGTCTCTGCGCAGCATCAGCGGTGGCTCGGTGCAGTGACCCCTGCAGAACAGCCTCCCCGCAGGATGCCCCATCCGGCGGTCCCGTGGGAAGGAACCGTCCCTGGATCGGCCCCGTATTCCCCCCCCCCCCCCAAGCTGGCCTCATGCAACGCCTGGCAGGGTTCCCAGGATTACGAAAGAGGAAATGCCTCCCAGGCTTGCGTGGGAAAGCAGCTCTCTGGGCTGCCGCCTCGCCTCCTCCGTGGCTGCTCTCTAGCACTGGAGCGTCCCTTTGAACCAGCCGTCCTGCTACAGGCCGTGTGGGTTTGGGGAGGAGAGACGGCTGCCTGCACAGCTCGGATTTCATGCGGGCACCTGGAGGCGGCCCTGCGGTTCCACCGGGCGTGAGCAGCTCCTGCAGGCTGGGGGAGACTCCTGTGGGCCCGCGGCAGGTGGCCACCCTGGCAGAGAAAGGCCTCTTCGATGCGCCGGAGGAGCCCTGCGGGGCCTGGCGAGCGGCGTCCTGGGTGCGAGAAGCCCAGGCAGCCATTTCCTGCCAGGGCGAGGATAACCTGGCCACAGCGCTCCCTCCGGGGTGTTTTCCGAGGCCGAAGATGCAACCCAAAAACCAGGTGCAGACAAAGCAGCTAAAATAGTCAGCCGCAGGAATTCAGGACTGTTCAGCAGCGGCCCTGCCGCCCGTGGCGGGGGGCCGAGCTCAGCCTAACCACGGTCCTAGGAGGCTTCGAGGCCGTTTAAACCCTGAGCGGTCAGATCCTTTCTCTGGACACTTGGCTCTGGGCCGCTGGTCCTGCAGGGCTGCTGGACTACAACTCCCATCAGCCTTATGCGAGCTGTAGTGCAGCTTCCCTCCCCTCACGCTTTGCCGCGCTTCCAAATGCGGCAGAGTCCCCTCCCCGAGGCTCCTCCCTGCCGCTCAGGAAAGCGGGGCTCCCTCGAGTCTCACTCGCTGGGCATGCAGGAGTTGCCGGGGTTCCTCTGGGGTCTTGTGGTGCCCCCCGTGCAGCTCTCGTCAGGGAGGCCCGGGGCTTGGGCTGCAGCAGCCTTTTCCATCTCGGCCTGAAGAAGGAGGTCCCGTACTGTGGCTTGCTGAAAAATGGATCATGGATTTCCGAATGCTGACCCAGCAGGCTTTGCCTCACCCCGCCCCCCCATTCCCAGCCAGTGTCCCCCACAAAGGCTCATTTGCAAATGAGCAAATTGCTCAAATGCAGCTGGGCTCATTTCGTGAATCGCAGAACAGCGGAGCTGGAGGGGGCGGAGGGCCAGCAGGCCCAGCCCCCTGCTCAGCGCAGGGCCCCCAGCTAAGCTGTCCTGAATGCTCGCAGTGTGGGAGACACCCCCCCCCCCCATGTCATGGGCTCCATTGCCATTGTACTGCTCTTAACAGTCAGGGGGTTTTCCAGATAGTCAGAATCTGCTTCCTGGAACTTGGGCCGGGGATTCCACATCTCGTACTCTGGAATGGAGAAGAGCTCTGCCCCCCCCCCCCCCACCACAGCCTTTCAAGCACTTGCTCAGTGCTACCCCGCCCCTGCCCCCCAGGCTGAACATGCCCAGCTCTCTCCATCCCTCCTCACAGGGCTCTGTCTCCAGCCCCCAGCTCAACCCCGCTGCCCTCCTGGCCCCTTTCCAGCTCATCTGCACCTTCCTTCACCGCGGTGCCCAGTCCCCCAGGGACACGGGACTTGGGATGAGTGTGATTAAAGGGGGACGAGTCCTTCAGGTGCTTCGGAAGTGATGCTTCCGGTCACGCAGGCTAAAACTGCATTTGCCCTTGGCAGCCACATCTCGCTTCTGACTCGTGTTGCTGGAAGCGGCCTGCGGCTCGTGAGGATCCCTGCTTGCCGGAGCTGCAGGCCGCTTCCGGTGACCCACGTGCCCTGGCAGTGGCCAGACTCTGGCCTCACCTGCCTCTGGGGGCTTGCCCGGCAACACGTGCGGGGAGGCCAAGGCATGCGCTCCTGAGCCGCAGCCGGTGGGGACCGGTGGAGCCCAGGCCTCTCCACAGGCGTGAGGATAAAGTCGCCTGAGCCGCGCCGCAGGCTGAAGCTGCCCGGCCTCAGCACTGTCGGACAGAACACGCCGGCCGCTCGGCCCGACTGCAAAGCAAAGGTCACGGGGCAAGCCCGCAGCTCGCTCTCGGACCGACGGGCCGGTTGCCTGGAGAGTATTGGCCGGGAGCGTCACTTGGTGGCATCAAGAAAGGCTGCGGTGAGAATTGATGTTAGAATCACCCGTTAGCCTGGAAATACTCTGGCAGGTGCCGTCGTCGGCCTGTAGACGGTGCGAAGGAGAGCCCAACGTGCGCGGTGGAAGCGGATCGCTCACCTGCGGCCTGTCGGAGGCCGTGGGCAGTCTTTGCTGCCTGGGAGCTCTGCCTTCGGACACACGCCTCACTGCTGACCCACCTCGCACGCAAAATAAGCGGTGCCACTCTCGCCTGAGCGCTGCTTCCCCGTTGGGACCCTCTGGGAAAAGGGCCCCGGGGTATTTTTGCAACAGTATTCAGCTAGCGATGCGCGGCGGTCCCGATATCCCCCTCCCCTGCCGTATTGCTGAGCCAGGCGTCCCCCACCCGTCACGAAGCACTTGGCTTCTTTTCCCGGTGCAGAACTGGGCACGGCCCCTGTGGAGCACTGCTGCCAGCCCGGTGCTCCAGCCCGCCCTGGCCTTTTGGTCCCCCGGGCTATTTGCTATCTCAGCCAGCTTGTGTCATCTGCAGCTGGCAGTTGTCGCTCCCTGAACTTCCCCGTCCCACCACACACGGAAGTGTGGAAGAGCCCGGGCCCAGCACAGGCCCTGCCACTTAGGTGCCCCCCGTAGCCGCAGAACAGGCCGAGACGCTGGGGCAGCTGCCCGGGCTGCCGCACGCCACGTGGGAATGCCGCCGCCTCCCCTCCCGCCAGGCAGCCTGGGTCGGACCCGGCGGAGGCCTCTGCGGCTTCACTGGGGCGGTCTCCTCTCCTCCTTGTGCCTCTGTCCAGGTGTGGGTTGCTGTGCCGGGAGAAGCGGGGCCGCCAGCATGGCGATGGAGAGCGGGACCCCCCTGCCCGTGGAGCTCCCCAACAAGACCCTCGTCAACATCCACATCCACCAGGAGTCCTCCCTGGCGTACCTGTGCCAGGCCGTGGGGCGCTACTGGGCCCGGCAGCAGGAAGCGGCTGCCAAGGACACGCAGCCGGCGGCCGCGGCCCCCACCCCCTCTGCCCGACGCTGCTGCGGGGGGGGAGCACAGCATGCCAGGGGTAAGGCCAGGTCTGTCGGGGTGGGGGTGCACCCCCGTAAGTGTGCGGGGGTGCACACTTACCTGGGAGAAGAGCACCCCGAAGCACGCCAGGCCCCCGAGCTCTGTGCCAGCCCCGAGGGGGGATCCACGGCCAAGGCCTGGGACTTCGCCCGCCCGCCTTCCCCCGTGAGGCAGGGCGCTGCCCGTGTGCAGGCGTGTCGGGCGGGAGGGAGCCATGGGTGCCTGCAGCCGGCGACAGGGTCCTCCTCTGGAGCTGCTGGGCATACATGCACCTAGGGCACCGGCTGTGGCCGGCCTTCCCCAAGCTGCACCCCCCAGGGGGGAGACTGCGGCTCCCTGCAGCCCCGTTGGCCCTGCTGGCTGGGAGGATGGAGCTGCGGCCCCGCACTGCTGGGGAGGGCTGAGGCGGGCGGCAGCGGTGGCGGCAGCTCCTGGGGGCTCCCCGGCGCACGCATTCTGGGGGGCTCCGCCTGGCGCCTGCCCCCCTGCTCCACACGGATGAGGGAGAGTCGCCGGGCCTTCCCTCCGCAAGCCACCCAGATGGGCTTCCCTTCCAGGGGGTCCAGATCCTGCTGGGGGTCGTGTGCATCAGCCTTGGCGTGGTGGTCGACTATGAGCGTGCGTTCTACGCCTACTTCTGGGCAGGAGCCCCTTACTGGATGGGCAGCCTGGTGAGTCCTGGGAAGCCGGCGCGGGGGGGCTCCAGTGGCCAGGGGGTGCAGCCCGCCGGATCGATGGGTCGCCAGCCGCCCGTCCACCCACCCCGCTGCCGCCCACGGGTGGATGCACTCATGCAGGGGGAGAGGCCCTGTTGTGCGCAGGTCAGCTGGGCGCGCTCCCTGCGGGGAGCCGGACGGGGGGGCACGCGGGGGAGCAGGAGGGTCCCCTCCCCGCGTCGCTCAGCCTCATGCGTTTCTTCTGCAGTTCATCCTGTCTGGCGTCTTCACTGTGGTGGGCAACAGACGTGGCGGCTGCTGGGTGAGCCAGGCGGGCGGCGTGGGCCCCTTCCGTGGCTCCTCGGTTATGGGAGCGATCCGGGGAGAGGGTCCGGGGGTGGCGGGTGGGTCCGTGCACGATGGGACCGCCCTTTGCTCAGGTCAACGGCAGATCACTCGGTCCGCGGAGGGTCGCCATCCGGGGCGGGTGCTTCCCCGAGCGATGCAGCCCCCGGCTCCTCAGCCACAAGAGGCGCCGCTTTGTGGTTGGTGCCAACGGGCAGGATCCGCCCTTTGCATCCCTCAGAGGGGGGAATGACTGGCCCGGCCCACCTGGGAGCCCCTGGGGACATGGCCCCCCAGGGCCCATCCCGGCCGCCCCTTGCCACACTGGCAGCCACCCGCGGGGGTCTCCTGACCTGGGTGGTCCTTTGTGCTCTGCAAAGGTGGCTCATTGCCGGCCTGGGCATCCACCCCCACACCGCCCCACTCGCCTGCCTCTGTCGCAGAGGAGTGGCCGGCAGCCCTGCGTGGAGGGCAGGGGGGCTCCGGCTCCCCCGTCGAGCAGAGCATCCCTGCCCTCCCCCCGAGGGCCTGGACCATCGGAGGGCTGCTTGCTCCGCGCCGTTTCTGTCCTTACCCGTTTCTCCGCCGCCCCCAGATCCCCGTGGCCACCATCCTCAACCTGGCCAGCGTCATCGCGGCCAGCGTGGCCCTGACGTACGGCATCGCCCGGATTCCCAACCTGCAGCCCTTTTACGATTACAAGGTGGAGATGTGCAGGAGGCGGGTGGACCCGCTGAGGACCACCAGCAGCCCCGGCAGCAGCGACTACGACTGGGAGGACGAGCAGTGCAAGGAGCTGCTGTGGCACCTCCTGGTGAGGGGCCCGGGGCCGAGCCCTCCTGGGCCTGTCCTCGGGACACGCGGGGGGGCCAGCAGGGGACCGCGTCTCCCAAGGGAAGGGGGGTCTGATGGGGCTTCGCATCGCCGGTCACCCTCTGCAAGGGCAGGGCCTGCCCCGGCTCGGGTCCCTGTGGAGGGGGGTGCAGACGGCGCTGCCGGGGCCCCGATGCAGCAGGGGCCGGGCAGAGCAGGGCCACCTCGGGAAACTCGGGGGCCTCCGCGGGTCCCGGCTGCTGCGGCCAGACAGAGGCCAGGCCCGGCCACATGGAGTCACGCCTGCCTTCGCGAGGGGGCGGGGGGCAGGCCGTCGGATCAGCCTGCCGCTTGGGGGCTCCGCTGGCCAGTGGCCTCAAGGCCACGATTCCACCCCAGCGCAGCACCTCATTTTCATGTTGGCGTGTAATGCGGTGCGCCGGCCAGAGATGCTCCACGAGACGGGGCCACAGAGGGATGTTGTGGCTAGATAGATGCACAACTGGACGGCGAGCAGGGCCCCGGCCCTCCCCATGCGCCCCCTCCCTCCGCTGACCGCGCAGTCCTCTGCCCTCTTCCTCCCGCAGGCCGTGGCCTTCTCCGTGCGGGTCCTCCTGCTCATCTTCTCCTGCATCGCCCTCGGGGTTGCCCTCTGCTGCTTTGCCTACGGGATCCGAGTCATGTGCCTGAAGGTATCTGGGGGGCTGCCAGGAATCGGGGCGGCCGGCACGCGGGGGGAGCAGTGTGTCGGGGGCCCAGCGGGAGCAGGGGGTGAGGCCTTGCCGTGGGTCTATCACTCCTGCCCCCCCATAGCTTTCTTGAGGGGAGCATCTTGCCTCCCGAGCCGGGGCAGGCCTCGAGCTGCGTGGACGGGCTGCCCGCCTTGGCGTCCCCGTGGGAGGGGCCGTGTCCGCAGCGCCTGCCTGCCGGTGCCTTGGATGAGAGATTGATTTTGAAACGCGATGCAGCTTGAAGTTTGGGCTCTCAGGCAAAGAGGCCCATTCTGTGGGCCTTGCTGACATTTGCGTTTGGGGCACATGGTTGGCCCTTCTTGGTTCTACCACATTGGGGGCTTGGTCCACGGGGCCCCTTGCGAAGCGCACTGTCCTTCCCGCGGCCCGCGCTTGCGTCCCCCAAGAGCTGCCAAAGCTGGCGGAGCGGCTGCCGGGAGCAGATCGGGGCCCAGCAGGCAGCGCTTGGCAGCTGCGTCTCCAGAACCCACTTGGCATCCTCGCGGACTCTGCAAGGAGCCAGGATCAGCCCCCCCGCCCCAGCCTGCTCCAGTTCCCTGCCTGAGCACCAGGGCCAGCCAGAAGCCAGAAGGCAGCTAGAGGGCAAGCAGGGTCCCACGCGCCGCAGAAAGCGGGGCCCCAAAGCAGCTCGGCACTGGCACGGTCCTGCTGAGGGGGCTCGGCCTGGGGAAGCGGGTTGGGGCCTTCTCCAGGAGCTGATCTGCGCTCCCTTTCGGCTCCGCTTGCAGGCACGCGGTGGTGCCTACACCAAGCTCCAGGACCAGGAGGTGCCTCTACCCTATGAGGACCCAGGCCGGCCCGAGGCCCTCCCCTGAGCAGGCGGCCCGTGCCCCAAGGAAGGAGAGGCCACCCCGGCCACGTCCGGCCCCGCTCCTGCCGCGAAAGCCACCTGCGCTTGCCCGTGCTCCACCTGCTGAGGCAGCCCTGCAGCCCCTCCTGGACGGAAAACACATTGCTTGCCGGAAAACGCATTGCTTGCCGGAAAACGCTTTGCTGCCCAATAAAGGTTCTGTGGTTGCCCTGCCGGCTCACGAGGTCTCCTGGTGCGCGGCTGCAGCTGTCCGGAAGGCCTCGGCGGCGAGCTGGGTCCACAGGGGCCTGGGGTCAGAGCTTCCCTGCGAGGGGCAGCTGCAGGTCGGGGTGCCCTACGTGCCAGAGCTGTCCGGGTGCCCGGAAGAGGTCACCAACGGGAGGGAGGGCAGTGCCCCGGCTCCTACTCTGCTCTGCGCCTCATCTTCTGATTGCCTGCCACAGCCTGCCCCTCACCGGCTGAAAATGCCCAACCCGCGGGGGAGCCGAAGCTCGTCTCGCCGCTGTGGTCAGCTGCATGTGGATCGTGGCCAGGAGGCGCCAGCTCCTTCTGGCAGCGGGGGCTCACCGGAGCACCCAGATGAGGGCGGCCGGCCCCGTCGCGTGCAGGCTGGTGCCACGGCCACTGCCCCCCCCCCCGCCAGGCACTGGAGGAGGAGTTGCACATTGGCTTTGGGTGGTGACCCCTGTACTTCGCACGGGCCTGCCGGGGCCACGCAGTGCCCCCCGCCACCCCCAGGGGACTGCCAGCACCAGCTCCCTGCCCCCGTGTCCAGGAGGCTGTGACAGCGCCCTGTGTGTGCATGTGCGCCTCAGACCAGCCCTGAAGTGGGACTGCCCAGCTTTGCACCTTGCCAGGGAGCCTGGCTGGGCAGGGGCCAGGAGAGGCCGGGCCCAGGCAGGAGCGTGGCCGGGAAGGTGGCTCGGCTGGGAAAGCATGCCCTCCTGGCAGGCCGGGTGGGGCTTGGGGAAGCACTTTGCAGCAGATCGGGCTGCCCTTCGGAGCCACCGCAGGACGTGCGGAGCGGGAGCACGGCAGCGCCCGGTACGGGGGCGAGGCGAGGAGCCAGGTCTCGTACTCCGAGCCAGAGCTGAGACATGGCCGCGCGGGGCGGCAGGCCGTGCCCGGACCCTCCCCGGCAGGGGCTGCGCGGCGGCGCTGGGCTGCCACTGCGCTGGCGGGAGCGTGCACACGAATCCTGCACGGGGCGGGGGCCCCAAAGCGCCGCTGCTCGGGCGGACGGCGAGGACCTGCTCCGGGGCGAGCGGGGAGCGGCCGCAAAGCATCCCGGCGAAGCCCGCGGCGCCCTCTCGCGCGGCGTGGCGAGGCGAGGCACGGCTCCCGGGCGCGCGGGGCGGGCCTCCCCGCCCCCCACTGGACAGGCCCGGGCGCGCCGCGGCTTTGCGCGTTCCCGCTGGCTGAACCCGGCCGATGCAGGAAGTCGGCGGCTTGCCGCCGGCCAGTCGACGCCCCGGGAAGGGCCTCGCCACGCATTCGAGAGTGCGAACTGAGCCGCCCGCGCTCCTGCCGCGCTGCGGACGGAAGGGGATGCGGCGAGGGCGCGCCGGGGGCGAGGCAGAGCGGGACGCCCGCGCTCGCCCCGCTGCCTGCGCGGCTCCCGTGCCGCCGCCTCCCCGCCAGGAGACCGGAGGGCGACCGCGGCGCCCTGCCAGGCGGCTCCAGCACGGGCGGCCGCGCGTCAGTCCCGCCGCTGCCACTGCAGGAGGGGCCGTGCCGCGTGCCCCCTCCAGCGAGAGCCTGCCGCCGAGGCCGGGCGCCGGAGGGCAGGCGGGGGGGGGGGGGGCAGCCGGCCGCTTCGCTGCTGCCCGGGTCGCAGCCGCCGGAGGACGCGGAGGGGGCGCGCGGGGCCGGAGCGCCCGCTGCAGGCGCGCCACGCTTGCGGCCAGACGCCGCGGCAGCAGCACCGAGTGGGGCAGCCGGATTCCCGCGGGCCGGCGGTGCTGAGCCACAGGCACCTGGCGGTCAACCACGGCGTCCCCGCGCGGGTCCCAAGAGAGCAAGAGCCCCGCATGTCGCCTCCCAGGGCCCCCTCTCCGGCGTGGCGAGCGGGCCACTGCACGGAGCCCCCCCCCCGCCTAGCACTCCTGCAGGACTGGCGCCGTTGTCCTCGCCCCGGGAACTGTGCTGTGTGCGGGGGACGCGGGTTCCAGGCAGCCTGTGCCGCGGAACTGGCGCCCGCCCGTCTCAGGCTGGCAGGACACATCCGCCCCAAGCCAGCAGGGGCTTCTCCCGCGAGGAAGGCTGCACCTGCAGAGGCAGCCGAGTGGGCGTGGAGGCTTTGGCCGGCTCTCGGGGCTGGTCCTGGCGGGTGCACTACCTCGAAGGCCTCTCATGCTGCAGTTCCCTCCCCGGTTCGTCCCGTCTGGCATCTTCTCCGTGGTGGGCGAGAGACGTGGCGGCGGCTGGGTGAGGGGCCATGGGGGCAAGCGGGGTGCCCCGGCTCCCAGCAGCGCAGGCAGGGTTGCTCGAGCTGAACAGCAGCCCTGCAAGGCAGGCTGCCACCACCCCTTACGGCCCCTCCGGCATGCAGGGCACCGAGGCAGGGGGGGGGGGGGGGGCAGAAGGGCCCAAGGCCGTCCCACGAGGACCCGAAGCCATGAATGGAGGCACCAGCCACATGCGTTGGAGCTCGTTCCGTCAGGAGTCGCAAAGGAAGGGCTCCCTCTCGAAGCGGAGCCTTCCTGGGCAGCTGGTGCACAGAGGAGGCCGGGTTTTCGAGAAAGTGGGAGGACCCGAACTTCTGGGGGGGGCAGGGAAGGGCAGCCCCTGCCCTCCCCTTAGGAACCAGCTTGGGATCGCCTCTACGATGGTCGCGGGGCCGCGGCCGCCTGCCCGAAAGCACAGAGGTCCTCGCTGTCTTGCAGACAGGCGCCTTCCTTCTGCCCCAGGTCCACCTGGCCAGCGTGGGGGCCGTCACCGCGGCCCTGACCGCTCCTCGCGAGGCCGCAGCCCCGGAATGAGGCTGTTCCGCGCGGCGGGGGCCGCCGCATCGCAGCCCCCGGCGCCGCGCAGGGGCCCGGGCAGGGGCCACAGCCGAAGGAGGCGTCGCCGGGCCGG